ATTTGCTTTTGTGCCTTGAACATACCAGGGAACTAGATACTTTTGCTCCCGTTCAGGCACGAACAGAGAAAGTATTTGAATCCTACCTATCTATTGATCAATCAGCCTTACCAAGCTAGCTAGCGAGCTACATTATTTATTTACGTGACGCTTCGTAGGTAAATGAATTTATCTTGATTCTTTTATCGTATTATTTATTACTATCTCGTTCATTTTCATTCATTCATCACAGCCGTCTTTTGCCGGACACTCTTGTGGTGACTCATATTCATTGATATCTAGACTTGATTGATAAATGTCTATGTTAATATCCATTTCCATTCCTATGGAAAGATTCATTTTGATGCATTGATAAAAGTGATTGCTCACATATCGAAAAGGAAAAAGAAAAGAAAAGGAAAAAAAAAGAAAAGAAAGATAGCGCTTGTAACCCTCCAACATCTTGTTTTCCAAGGTACTTTTACCAGGTTCTAGTACAGTCAGTCTCTGCAACCATCATCCCCCCAGATTCTGCTTGCGCAAACCCAGCCCCCAAACCATCTTGCAGTTACTTGAGGAGATAGGTAGGCTTATCTCAAAATTGTACCTAACCTTAGCCTTCCTTACCCGTACACCTACTTACACTTACCCTTACACTTCTTCCCTACCCTTCCCCTTACCCTTTCCCTTTACACTGCCGCTTTTTTCCTCCTTCTTTTCTCTTTCTTACTTCATTTCAAACATCCGACACGGGAACCTTGAAATTCATCACAAGCGCACTGCTACCCAACCTTGACCTTGAATCTTTATTCCGTTCACCCATCAATTCCATTCACCACCGCGAAATCTTCCCATAACAACAACAAATCAGCTTGATATTACTCTTACGAAATTTCTATTATTTTCAAAGGAAGCCAACAAAATTAATCAAAATTAAAATCAATAAAATCAATTAAAATCACCCAACAGCAAGAACTTTTCAAATCATTACTTTTTCAAGGTGACGTTGCTTAAGAATATTGACTAGGGTCCCGCTGCAGCTGGCTCCGGCTCCCTGCTCTTCGGTTGCTTAATTCCTCCATGGCGACAACTTCCGTTTCGCCCGCTACTGTTGAGCGAAATACTTCACGACGAAGTCATAACAACTCCATACCAAGTCGTTCTCAATCAACAAGAGTTAAGAGTAGTACGACAGATTCACCACAGCGATCACATTCACATTCACATCACCATCGTCCCTCATCACGACATGCGGCTTTAGAGGAGTCAATACCCCAGGCAAATTATGAGACTGCAAACGTCGCGCAACAATCAAGAAAAATATCAAGCAGAGACGGTCCGACTCCTTCCAGACACGAGTCTACGAGAAGTGCAACGAGTAACCATCGATCAACTCATCACAGTCGACGCTCCAACGACATGGCAACAGCTGCTGCAAGTGGCGGAGGCCCAGCCCCCGTGGTGACACCACAAGAATCCAGAAATGCTGCACATAGGGGAAAATCGAGAACGACGATTCCAGCACAATCTGGAAATTGGATTTTAGGCAAGACAATTGGTCAGGGCAGTATGGGCAAGGTTAAGCTGGCAAGGCAGGCGGAAGGCGGCGAGCAGGTAATTTTTCCTTCATTCCGCAATCCAAATCTTAGTCATGTCTAATGAAGGTGTGTAGGTTGCGGTCAAAATCGTTCCACGAGGATCAACAGATGATAACCACAACCAAAGTCGAGCTGATAGAGAACGAGCCGATCACTCGAAAGAAGTTCGCACAGCCCGAGAAGCTGCTATCGTTACACTTTTGAATCACCCATACATCTGCGGCATGAGGGATGTTGTGCGTACGACTTATCATTGGTATATGCTGTTTGAATATGTCAATGGAGGACAGATGCTTGATTATATTATATCTCACGGGAGATTGAAGGAAAAGCAAGCTAGGAAATTCAGCAGACAAATCGCCAGCGCTTTGGACTATTGTCATCGAAATAGCATCGTTCACAGAGATTTGAAGATCGAAAACATTCTGATTAGCAAGACTGGAGATATCAAGATTATTGATTTCGGCTTGAGTAATTTATTCGCACCACGAAATCATCTAAAGACTTTCTGCGGTAGTCTCTATTTCGCGGCTCCGGAATTATTGCAAGCAAAGGCATATACTGGACCTGAGGTTGATGTTTGGAGTTTTGGTATCGTATTGTATGTCTTGGTCTGCGGCAAGGTACCTTTCGATGATCAGAGTATGCCGGCGTTGCATGCAAAGATTAAGAGAGGGATTGTAGATTATCCCAACTGGCTAAGTCCAGGTTAGTTCTTCTTTTCCTTTTTTTAACTGATATAGTACTAATGATAGGCAGAATGTAAGCATCTTATATCCAGGATGCTTGTCACGGATCCAAAGCAACGTGCAACGCTACAGGAAATCATGAGCCATCAGTGGATGATAAAACAATACGGCAGTCCACCCGAAAACTATCTACCAGTTCGAGAACCCCTTACACTTCCTCTTGATGACGATATCATCAACAGCATGACCGGCTTTGATTTTGGCCCACCAGAACTGATCAAACAACAATTAACTGATGTGATCAAGTCCGCCGAATATGGGCATGCTGTACGTTTGGCAATGCAGGAACGAGAAAATTCGGGTCCTCCTCGTGATGCTGAGAAGAAGAGAGGAGTATTCGACTTTACAAAGAAGAAATTCTACTACGAGCCGAGATACCTTGACCGCGCCGAGCGCAGAACTGCTTCAACTTGGCAACGATCCATGCAATGCATATCACCCTCTCATATCCGTATATTACCTTGTTAAGGAGAAACGTGAGCGTGATGCGCTTGAAGCCAACCCGGGTGCAACCTCGATGCCACGGGCTCCAAATGAAGCTCCACTACAACAAGTGGCAGAAATATCAGCACCAAAGCCAGCATACACAAATGCTACAGCTTATGAGATGCCTGGTGAGAAGGCCACAGGAGGTCGGTCGCGCCCACGTGCACGCACTCATGGTGAGGAGGAAGTCACAGAAGGATTGAAGAATATGAAGATTGCTAGTTCTACTGGCCCTCCATCACCGGCAATAGTCGAGCCTGTGGAACAGACTGCTCGAAAAGAAAGTACTGCTGCTGGTATTCTGAGAAGATTCAGTACACGAAGACGCAAGGATCCTCCACCGTCTGACAAAACTGGCAATCATCTGGCCGTCGGATCGTCGAATGAGCCATCAACGATCCGAAAGAGTTTCAGTGTTCGCCGGCACCGTGATCGGGATGGAGAGGGATCTCTTCGAGCAAGTGGAAGTGAACGCCAACATAGTGATCTTCTCACTCCAAGATCCGCCGAAAACTCGGGTGCTTCTAAACTAGGACGATCGACGAGCGTTAACTCCGCAGAATACAGGCGACGGGAAAGAGACGAGGAGAGGAGGAGGAGGGCAGCAGGAGTTGCCGCTTCGGAAGCAATGCCATCGCGTGTTACCTATAAAGACCCTCCTCCAACTAGTGGTTCTGATCATTCAACGACGAATGAAAAACCAGCTCGAGAGGGCGAAAGGGCTGGCCTGAATCCTAGGGCCGCCACTATGAGAGCCAAATCGTTGGGCCATGCAAGAAGAGAAAGCATACAAGCTAGACGAGCCCGAAGGGAAGAAGCTAGGGAAGCAAATGTACCGGAGGAGACTGATGTTGAATTGGGCGACGCTAGTGGTCTCTCAACCGAACGAGTCGACACCGCAGAAAATGTCAAACCCGTCTTTCTGAAAGGGTTGTTCAGCGTATCTACCACATCAACCAAACCCGTTCAGGCTATACGCATGGATATAATCAGAGTACTGAAGCTTCTCGGAGTTGACTATACAGAAATACGAGGCGGTTTTAGTTGTCAGCATACCCCTAGTATTGACTTGAAGAAGGTTGTCGATGTACCTCCTAGCAGCCATGGCAATCATACTCCAGGGCATAAAAGGAAGATCAGTTTCGGAGGTTTCATGGGAGGTGGTAGCAGTGCGGAAAGAGATCGTGAGGATTTCCGAGAAGCAGAAAGATCACCACCTCAACACCCAAGAACACCACGCAGAACTCGTGGCCCTGAAAATAGCTACTCAAATTCAGATGCGTCTGATGAAAGTGTTACTAGACAAGGTGATTCATCAGCTCGGGCTGTGGGCGAAACCAGCACACATGTTCAAAGTGAACTTGGTGGTAGCATGATTCTTGAGTTTGAGATCTTCATCGTCAAAGTTCTTCTCTCTTTACACGGCATCCAATTTAAAAAGCTTCGTTCAGGAGGAACTTGGCAATTTAAGAATATGGCAGATCAAATCCTTCGCGAGCTTCGACTATAATAATTCTCACGACACACTTGGACACGAACACGCTAGTCCTATGAATATTGCTATTCTCGTTGTAATACAGGAAACTTTCCCATTAGCTGTTCTTTCGTTATTTCACTCGTACAAAAATCTATGGACGGAGAAGCGATTGGGAGAAAAACATACATGCATCACTCTTGAAACGAATTCCTTTTGTTAAGCGAAATTGATGAAGATGGCATGCATTATCAAAATTTTTGGCCATTTTGTTTTTACTGAGCACACAATTTTCATTTGTTTTCTTCCACTCAACTAGTGTGCCAATTTGCTTGCGGAACCAATTTGAGGTTCATATATGTAGTAATTATGGGATAAGAATTCTTTTCAGGGGAATAAGGGGCAGCATTTGAGATTTGGGATTTTTCTTAATATTTCGGGAAGGGGTTTGGACTTGGGATATGTTATGGTGGAAGGAAGGAGATATGAAGGGATAAAAGTAGTTGATTGGCTAGGTAGCGGAGTGTATTTGGGGGACATGAGCAGTCAGTCGAGTGTGGGAAGGAAAGAAGGAAGGGAGGAATGAGCTGTGGATATGGCAAGGACAAGGATAGATATTTCGATACTGTATTCCTTAATTTAATTTCCTCATGCAGACTGACAGATTTCTCCTCGGTTGAAGTTTCCTTCCCATGATTTGACTTTTACTCCTAATTTCATCCTAACCCTTTCCTATATCGATATGTCCAGAAGTTTGGCGTGTCAACCATGCAACCAAATTTCACAAAACAGATACACCACGACACAATCAACATGGACACTCCTCGTCACAAATTTGGTCCCTGGACAAGGTCTTCAATACCACATACCCCGAACGTACATCTTCAACATCGAGCAATTGGTCTTTTCGGTCGATATCGAGTTCTGCGAGTGAGTCAACGGGCTCATCAGCTTTTTGGAGAACACCGAGGAGAGATAAGGTGAGGGAGAAGAGTAAGGTTGGTGGGAAGGATGATAGGTTGGGCAGATGGAGAATGAAGATTTGGGAAAGAGCGTCCTGGCGGAAGGGACTGAGAATGGTGATGGAGAGGTGGAGTGGATGGAAAACATTTGGTGGATGGAATGGGTGGGATAGATTTAAGATAAAACTTAAAACGAGGATGAGGACATTAGAGAGGAATCTTAGGTATTTATTATCTGACCTTTCTCTTACTGTTTTGGACATGATACGAATAGCTGGGAATATATGTACTAATTAATAAATGCAAAAGTACCAGATCACGACGGTTTTTCCGTTTCTTCGCATTTATAATGGCCCTTTGCCTGGTAGCGACATGTCTTCTTTACTTTCATCCTTCATATCTATCTTCCCCCTCATCCTCATTACCGGAAGTTCATTCACTAGGTTCATATACTCCCATCCAACCCTACATACCCGAAGACGCCAACACCATAAAAAGAAATCCAATAAAAGAAAAGCGATCCGGTACAATGGTTGAAAGAAAACTCCAACAATCGCTACGCCATAACCATCGGCCCAAAAACATGGAAATCTCAACTCACTGAATGGAGTAATCCCCGTCCCAAAGCTGCGCTTATTTCTCTCGTTCGTAATTCAGAATTAGAAGGTATGCAACAATCGATGCGACAGCTCGAAGCGCGCTGGAATCATAAATATCTATATCCGTGGATTTTCTTCAATGATGAACCGTTTAGTGAGGAGTTTATGGCTGGTACGAGGAATTTGACGGGTGCGGAGTGTTTTTATGAGGTTGTGCCGGAGGAGTTTTGGTCGTTGCCGGACTGGGTTGATGAGGGGAGGTTTATGAATAGTTTGGATTATTTGGGGACGATTGGGGTGGGCAAGGGTTGGATGGTTAGTTATCATCATATGTGTAGATGGAATAGTGGATTTTTTTATCGCATGGATATATTGAGGGGTTTGGATTGGTATTGGAGGGTTGAGCCTGATGTGAGTTTTTTCTTTTTTCTGTGGTTTACCTACTTGGACCGTCGATACGATTGGGATATGGTATACGAGTTCTTGAACTGGGGAACGAAAAGAAGGAAAGTAGAATGTGGAAGTTGTGCAAAAACTAACAAATGATTCGATAGGTTCACTTCTTCTGCAATATTAACTATGATATCTTTCGCTTCATGCGAGATAATCAACTCAAATATGGGTTTAACATGAATATCCTCGACGATGCCCGTTCCTTTCCATCCCTCTGGTCTAAAACCCGTGCATTCGCCACTGCACACCCTGAATTACTTCATCCTGAAGCAGATCTGAACTGGTTACTTGATGGGGGCGAATATAATAATTGTCAATTCTTTAGTAATTTCGAGATTGGATCTTTGAGATTTTGGAGAGGTGATGATGATCGCCATGTAGAAAAGGAAAAAAGGAAAAAGGAGCACATGAAAAATACTTCAACTATCTCGATCATACAGGTGGATTTTATTACGAGAGATGGGGCGATGCACCCGTTCATACGCTTAGTGTGGCGATGTTTTAGCAAAGAAAGAAGTCTGGTATTTTAGGGATGTGGGTTATAGACATGGGATTAATAGTGTTTGTCCCAGTGGGAGAGAGAGGGAGTTGTGTGTGAGGAGGGGGCTGGATAGGGTTTTATAAGTTGGTTCCGCTTGAGAGTCCGCAGAGGAAACCGGGGATAGTGATTAGGGCTGGATGGGGAGTGAAGTTTGGGTGGGGGAGGAGGAGGTGGAGGTGAGTGGGGGGGGGATGGGTATGGGGATGTGGTTGGGGGTTGGGGGAGGAGGGGGGAGAGGGAGGGAGGGAATAGGATGGGGATGAGGATGGATGATGGGATGATGGGGTGATGGGTGATGGGATAATAGAGGTGCGGTAGGCAGAGAGGGGGCTAAAGGGGATTTGATGGTCCTTCAGGCAGGAATATATCTTATATTAAGTTTTAATGTATACGAGTATCATAATAATGACTGACTTCTTTTCCTTTCAATTTTCATTACACATATCTTTAGATTTCCTTCTTTATTATTTAATATATTCATTATATTTAATACATTTCGACTGATTCTTGATAGCTCAGCTACAGCCGTGATAAAGAATCATCTGTTAGTTCTAGATCACATTGTGAGGAAAAGCTAGATCTTACTAGCTAGACTGAAATATTTGATGTGTGAATTGGATTGGATGGGATGGTATAGTGTTAGGGGAAGAGAATGAGAGCTTGTTGAAGATTATAGGTGGTGGGTTTAGGGGTTATATTGTAGGGAGGATGGATGGATGGGGATTGGGAAGGGATGGGGATGGATGGAGATGGAATGGATGGATGGATGGAAATGGAATGGAAGGGAGAGGGGAGGGAGGGAGGAATGGAATGGAATATTCTGAATGGAGATTAAAGAAAATGGTGGAAGGATATGGAATGGATATTGAAATGTAGATATACAGAGACTGTATGTATGAATTGGCTCTTGGATTTTATATTTTCCAAGACAGACACTAGGTACTGGTAAGATCTTTGATATCTATCTCATAAGAAGGAAGGAAATCGGGGAGGATGAATTAAAAATTGATAATTTGTATGTTCATTACAGATGACTTTATTATCATCTAATATTTCACATCATCCCATCCATCAGATCATCCCATACCTACATACGCACATACATAAACCTCCTATTACGCACATCCATCACGCGAAAGCCCAGTTCCAGACAAGCTCGTAGCAAAACCCAAGATCCAACCCAACCAATCAGCACTCGCCTATTTGAATACAAGATCCACCCAACCAATCAAAACTCGCGTAATTCTAAGCAATGGTCAGCACTATTGTTAGTTATTGATGATCAGTCATTGAATCAGGTTATGTTAGGTTATTGCTAAGGTTTTTGGTAGGGAGGAATTGGTATATATAGTGAGGGTACCTGCTTCTTCTGATGAGATTTTGGTATTCGGACTTTCAACGCAAAATAATAAATAAGAAGTTACTTCCATTTTTGTTATTCTTTCAATTGACGATTCTATTAATCAACTTGGAAATACTTCGAGACTTTGAATCTTCAAACCAAAACGAAAACCAAAACCCAAACCCAAACCCAAATTAACAATGGCTCCATCAACATGTTGTAGGAAGGGAGATGGTGCTGAGAGTGGCTGTGTTTGTGGTATGTTATTACTTATTTATTTTTATTTCTTTCCTTCCCTCCCTTTCGTTCCATGCCCTCCATTCATCACCCATCTTCCTCACTCTACATCTCACAACAACCCTCCTATATTTACATCCCCAAAAACAAACGAAACATAACTAACCCCCCAACAGCAACCCAGGCAAAATGTTCCTGTGGCGAAAAGAAAGCTCTAGAGTGTACATGTGCCCGCCGAGAGCGAAAACAAGATCGAAGGTGCTAGATGTAGTTGTCGTATGTCTCCCTTTTGGTGATTCTCGAACACAATAACTAACACCAAAATGAAATAGGTGCTCGTGCAGCTGGAGCTTGTACTTGCGAGCGTTCTACAGAGGAAAATAAAGTTCCTCGGGTGAACTTTGTGGGTGTGGTGCTAGACCTGTTGGTATGTATTTTTTTTTTCTTTGATCCGGTTTTTCTTTTCTTGATATGACATTGGAATTAGTCTAATGATGTTTAGATGCTTGTACTTGTGAAAAGGCTACAGATGGTGGATTACTTCCTACAGAGACGGATTTCACTACTAAGGCTTAGATGAAAGTTCTTGGTTGAGTGGGAATTTGGGTGGCGTTTGTGGTTTGGGGGATTGGGTTGGGTTTGATTGGCGTTGAGGTTGGGGATGGGAAGGATGGTGCATGCGTATTTATGCGTATATAAGGAAAGGGAAGGGAAGGAAATAAAAAACCTTTAATTAAATGATATAGGAATCAAAATGATTGATATGAAATGCGAAGTGATATTGGGTTTTGATGATGGGGATGGATTGGTGATTTGGT